GTGTTGCAGCTCTTGCAGAGGCAACACAGAGACGCATCCCACGGCCACCGGCTGTGAGATGGAACTTTAAAAGCAGAACTGTGAACGCGGTTTGGGAGACCCGAGATGCACTACTTCAGTGTATGAAGCATATACGCGCACAACCAGGATGGGATGCGGTCACCATAAGTGAGGCATACGGCCTGTCAAAGAAACTGCGGGACCGAGCATTTATGCAGCTCCTGGAGTTTTTTTTCGTTGCTTATGCCAGAAGTGGATGTTCTATACAACACTCTGCAAAAACGAAGCATCGATGCACCTGGGATCAACAGCGCGCTCTGCCGTTTCAAGGAAAATGTTCAGAAAATGAGGCAGAAAACTGATGCATTGGCCGCCACTGCTCATGATGGAACAGACGAGCCAGGCCGACGAGTCAGCAGCACAGCGCCGGTGATGAAGGAGGCTTGTGACACAGTCATCTCACAGGGTGGAACAGAGGTTCTCACAGAGTGACCATTTGATCGCTGCAAAGCTTGTTGACAGCTCATTCTTCCCACAGCATGTCCTGTCATTTCCTACACCTGAGCTTGACTGCGCCGTGAAACTGTGGCCTGCGTTGGGAACAAGGAGAAGTTGAAGTCTGAGCTGACCACGCTCTACCGCCACAGTGAGCTTCACACTGGAAACACTGCCCTGTCTCTGTTGAAATCCATTCACGAGAACAACTTGGAGGAAACGTTTGCTGAGACTGTTATTTTGGTCAAAATAATAGTGACAACTCCGATGACGACATCCGAATCAGAGAGGAACTTTTCCACCCTCAAAAGGATAAAGACTTTCACTCGCAACACCATGGGACAGCCGCGACTTAACGCATTGGCCATGCTTTCAATTGAAAGCCAGTTGATCCAGCAACTACAGGACTTCATCCCCAAAGTGATAGACACATTCTGTCAGAGGAAGGACCGCCGTGCCGCTTTTCTTTTCAAGTGAGCCTTCAGCTTTGGTAAGTTCATTTATGTCATATATTTTGTTGATCTTCTGTGTTTTGCCTCTGCTGGATCGATTGATATTGTGACCTCGATGATGAGTGTCTGTGTTTTCCTTATATTTACAGTCTATGGTGTTTTAATGCTAAAGCATTACGGTTGTTGTTATTGTTAAGAATTACTTTGTGATGGTGACCTTTACTCCATGTATGAAGGTGCATTACTATGACATCCCCACGCTGTGTACGTAAATGTATGCGCTCACAGTGTTGCTCCTGTGGTCTTCAGTATGTAATTTGACACTCCCCCCTCTCTCTCTCCTCCCCCCCTCTCTCTGTCCCCCCTCTCTCTCTCCTCCCTCTCTCTGTCCCCCCCCCCCTCTCTCTCTCTCCCCCGACCTCTTTCTGCCCCCCCAGTTTTGTACACCTAGAAACGCCACTGAGTATATGTTCTTCTGGTTGCTGTGGAATCTGAGAGGGGGATTTGCTTGATTTGACCTGTTATTTCCTCTTTTTGTTTGCCTTCAACATGGTCTCCATCACTTCAGTCATGCATTCTTTTATACTTCAGTTATTATCCAGTGGAAAGTCCTTACCTACTGGCCTAGTTCAATCAAAGTGGTTACTTTTTTTTGGCTGGGCAGTGTAGTTTTACACACCGTCTTATTTGACTTTCTCAGGACTTAAAACAGTTTTTTGGGGGCAGACCCCCTCAAAGAAAAAAATATATTTACATACGTAAGGTCATCATCTTAATAGTTGTGTATGCTCATCCGTGAGCAGAGCATCAAGTTGACATGTCTATTACAGCTGAATGCGGCGATTACCATCTTGTTCAGCAAAACGCCTCACAAACGTATTAAGATCAACAGCTTTAGTGCGTTTTGATACAATGCTGAGTACAGCCAAACTGACAGTCTCTTCTCTGTCAGTGTAGACCGCAAATACCTCATTCCTTCAGTGCTTGGGTCCGAATGCTTCTCGTTTTGCGCCGTCCAGTTAAAAATGAAATCGCCGCCAATCGTATGTCCACGCTCGCGCCAGGACCGGGGGAGGGGTTACATGACGTGCATCTTGTGCTGCATTCACTTGCACTCGGACATTAGAGACTTTCTCTCATAAATGTCCGATGAGCCACAACTTTTCTTTCAAAACAAAGCTGCCAACTGGGGTGGCAGCTGGGGTGGCAAGGCCTATTTTTAGGGTGTCAGTTGCCACCCCGGTAGGTGAAACTAGGCTACTAGCTACAGTACAGATGGAACTAGATGAGCTGTTAACTCTCGCTCTGAATTTATTTATTTTTAATTCTCGCTCTGACTTAGACAGGTTGAAAGAGACACACACATTTTTCCCACCCGCATTCCGCGAAGACCCGCCCTACTGTGCCTCTGATTCGCAGATTGTTTGGGGGGAAAAAACGCTGACTGGATGCTGAATGTGATTGGACCAAGGCGTTGACAGACACAGGTGGAACACAGTGGAACAGTCAGACATGCAGAGCGCTGTTTGCAGTGGACATAGCGGATAATTTTGACTCGTTGCGAATGCGTTGTGGCGATGTCTCACATATAATACAGAGAGATAATACATATGAAAAGTATAATTTGCTCAGAGTCCGGAGACAGTGGTGGTTCGGTCCGGATCCGGACCAGAGTCCGTAGTTTGAGGATGCCTGGCCTATATCATAAATTAATTAAACAGTTAATCGCATGACGCAGTTGATATTTTCTTGCCCTGGCTAGCACCTAGCTAACGCAGCAGATACACTAGCTAACACAATCTGACATTAAACTACCATCCTACTAGGGATGCCAGCGATTAATCTATTATTCGTTACAGTCTCCATAATCGAAGATTATTTTTAAAATTCGATTTTATTTATATATTTTTTTATTATTTATGTTTTTTTTTCTGTCTTAGTTTCAACTAAAATATAGACTAATAATAGTAATAGTATTAATAATTGTAAATGGCCATTGGTCACAACACCAGTTTTGACTGTAAAACTTGGAGGAAGCCAGCAGCGCAGCCTGCGCAGACTGCTGCTGCAGCTTGCTACACACCGACCCCGCCGATTTAGATCCTGGTCAGTTTCTGGCACCCCTACATCCTACAGAAATGACATCAAAGTTGGTCTGATACAGTCAAGCTAAAGCATCATATAGGATATTTGGGTAAAATGTATGTCCTAGGGGTCCTGGACTCCTGGTTGAAGACCCATGGAATAAAACGTGTAATTCTAGGGAATTGTCAGTACAGTTATATTTGCATTGCACCAGGAGGCTGATATATATTTGTACTGTTAGTTTATGCATACTGTTTTTTAATCTGCTTTGTTTTCCTCCATTTTCAGGATTATACTACAAGACGAGTCAAGGGGATCACTGCAATACACAAGGCCAAGTAAAGTAATTATAGCAGCGCCACCTCTCTTTACCTAAGATGGCTTCTTATTGGTCTAAAAGACGTAGAGTCATCAGAACTGTAAGGGACATGGAGAAAGATATCCTTAAGGAATACGAGGAAACTCTTTATAATAACAAGTCACATTTAGACCCCTGTGTGAATAGGGAACCACCCTTCAGAATCTCACACGTTTCCCAACTAGATACACCACTAGCTTCCCATGTACACATGGAAAATGATCATACTGATGGTAGTTTAGCTGGAGATGATGACGTTGAATCAGATCATGTACAAATGGGAAATGATCAATGATCTGTGTGCATCTGGACCCGGTGACAACATTACCTATTGACGCAGCAACCACTGTAAGTTATATTCTTGTTTAATTAGACTTCTCGGTTTCATTTATTCGACTCTGTATAATTGTTACTGTAGCTAAAACGGCTAAATCGCTTTTGAGAGATTTTAAATCTCAGATCTGCTCAGGCGAAACCTGCTTTACAGCTCTCAGCACTCAAGCCTGCATTATTAACATAGGCAGGGCCAGTCTATTGTCGCCCATCAGCTGTAGATAGTTAACTAATTAACTTCAGCTGTGAGAACTGAGCAATCAGGCGTCCATTTCGGGTAGCTCTTTCCTGGAGCGGCAGCTTCAGCGGCAGACAGGCTAAGACTGACAAAGACATTAGAGTCCTACAGGAGTAAGACTGACAAAGACATTAGAGTCCTACAGGAGTCACGAGGGAGGCAAAGAGGAGGCAAATCCTACTTTGATTGAGCTAAGTATCGTTGGCGTTTTTAATTTTTACTTTTGTTGTTTAGCCCCTCATGCTATAATCATGTGTATTTTCTCCATTCCTGTTCATGTGTCTTCTCGCAATTATCACTGGCCCCGTGTATCTCGTAATCGATATAACCGGCCTGCTCTCGTCTATCCCACGTGCTCCACTGAGATCCATCATCTAGTTTCAGGTGGCCTGTGGAACTGCCAGTCAGCTGTTCCTAAGGCTGACTTCATCTCTGGCTACACCTCCCTGCAGTCTCTGGATTTCCTTGCTCTCACTGAGACCTGGATTACTCCATCCAACACATCCACCCCAGCAGCTCTCTCCACTGCATATTCCTTCTCCCATACACCCAGACCCACTGGCAGAGGAGGTGGCACTGGTCTCCTGCTCTCTCCCAAATGGAGCTTTTCCCTCTTCAAGCTACCTAACTTTACTCCTTCCACCTTTGAGTTCCATGCCGTCACAGTAACCCATCCTATACAGTTAACCATTGTTGTTCTCTACCGTCCACCAGGCGCCTTGGGGGACTTCTTGGAGGAATTAGATCATCTCCTCTCACACATCCCTGAAACTGGCCCTCCCGCTGTACTTCTCGGAGACTTCAACCTCCAGATGGGGAAGATAGACGAACTAACATCTCTGTTAACCGCCTTTGCTTTCTCACTCTCTCCGTCCCCACCGACTCATAAAGCTGGCAATGTCCTTGATCTCATATTCTCAAGGAACTGCGCTACTTCTAACCTCTCTGTAAACCCGCTCCACACATCCGATCACTTCTTCATTTCATTCTCTCTATCCCTTTCCAAACATAACAAACTAATCTCTTCCCATCCTACACTTGTCCGCCGTAACCTTCGCTCCCTCTCTCCCTCTACCTTTGCCTCGTCGGTGCTCTCAGCCCTCCCTTCCTCTGATTCGTTCCAACTACTGCCTCCAAACTCTGCTGCAGAAACTCTCCTCTCTACTCTCTCATCCACTCTGGACTCGCTCTGTCCTCTGACATCTCGGCAGGCTCGTCAGTCCCCTCTGGCTCCCTGGCTAAATGATGCACTGCGTGCTAATAGAACCGTCCTTAGGGCAGCAGAGCGGAAATGGTGGAAATCCAAACACCGTGACGACCTCCTAACCTATCAGGCTCTCCTCTCCTCTTTCTCTGCTTCGATCTCTCAGGCAAAAAGCACTTTCTTTCAAGATAAGATCCAATCTTCCTATTCCAATCCTAAAAAACTATTTTCCATCTTCTCCACCCTCTTGGACCCTCCAAAAGCTCCTCCCCCCTCCTCACTTCTGTCAAGCGACTTTGTTACCCACTTTGAAAAAAAGGTTAATGATATTCGCGCTTCTTTTTCTGACTCACCTTTACTCACCGCTGGGTCACCAGACCTTCCTTCCACCAACACACTAACCTCCTTTTCCCCTCTCTCTCCAAGTGAGGTTCTTACCCTCATTACCTCTGCCCGCCCTACCACCTGTCCTCTGGACCCTATCCCTTCAAACCTCCTTCAGACTATCGCTCCTGATATTCTACCGTTTCTCACCCATTTCATCAACACTTCTCTAACTTCTGGTCACTTTCCAAACAGTCTCAAGGAGGCAAGAGTAAACCCTCTCCTAAAGAAACCCACTCTCAACCCGTCTGATGTTATAAACTACAGGCCTGTCTCTCTCCTCCCGTTCCTGTCTAAATCACTTGAACGCGCTGTCTTTAAACAACTCTCCTGTTATCTCAATCAGAACAACCTTCTGGATCCGCACCAGTCTGGTTTCAAGGCAGGTCACTCCACAGAAACTGCTCTCATTGCTGTCACGGAGGAACTGCACACTGCCAAAACTGCATCCCTCTCCTCTGTCATCATCCTGTTGGACCTGTCTGCTGCATTCGACACGGTGAATCATCAGATCCTCCTTCGCACTCTCCAAAAACTTGGAGTTTCTGGCTCTGCACTTTCCCTCCTCACCTCATACCTGAAAGACCGTACCTACAGGGTGACTTGGAGAGGGTCTGAGTCCGACCCTTGTCAATTAACTACGGGGGTCCCTCAGGGCTCTGTTCTTGGTCCCCTCCTCTTCTCCTTGTACACAAACTCGCTCGGATCAGTCATTAGCCCGCATGGTTTTTCTTACCACTGCTACGCTGACGACACCCAATTAATTCTGTCCTTTCCCCGCTCAGAGACCCAGGTCGTCGCACGCATCTCTGCTTGTCTAGCTGACATCTCTCAGTGGATGTCTGCTCACCACCTCAAGCTCAACCTTGACAAGACTGAGCTGCTCTTCCTCCCGGGAAAAGATTGTCCAACTCTTGACCTGACAATCAACATCGGCACCTCAGTTGTTTCCCCGACTCAGACTGCAAGGAATCTGGGTGTGACCCTAGATAACAACCTGTCCTTCACTGCAAACATCGCTGCTACAACCCGCTGCTGCAGATACACGCTTTACAACATCAGGAAGATACGTCCCCAGCTGACTCAGGAAAGCGACTCAGGTTCTGGTCCAGGCTCTCGTCATCTCACGCCTAGACTACTGCAACTCCCTCCTGGCTGGTCTACCTGCATGTGCCATCCGACCTCTGCAGCTCATCCAGAATGCAGCGGCTCGTCTGGTCTTCAACCTTCCTAAATTCTCCCACACCACTCCGCTCCTCCGCTCCCTTCACTGGCTTCCGGTAACTGCTAGAATCCACTTCAAGACACTGGTACTTGCTTACCGTGCTGCGAATGGATCTGGCCCTTCCTACATCCAGGACATGGTTAAACCGTACACCCCAGCGCGTGCACTACGCTCTGCATCAGCCAAACGACTCGTTGCGCCCTCGCTGCGAGGGGGACCCAAGTTCCCATCGGCGAAAACACGTGGGTTTGCTATCCTGGCTCCAAGATGGTGGAATGAGCTCCCCATTGACATCAGGACGGCAGATAGCTTGCACATCTTCCGGCGCAAACTGAAAACTCATCTCTTTCGACTCCACTTCGAGCGTTAGAACGATTAACGAAGCACTTATATACTAATAAAGGACTGGATTACCTAAAGCCAGTTGAGTAGCACTTGAAATGTTTGGCTCTATGAAACCTGATATACTTATATGATTCTGTTTTCTTCAAGGTTGTGTCTTCCTGGTCGAATGTACTTATTGTAAGTCGCTTTGGACAAAAGCGTCAGCTAAATGTAATGTAATGTAATGATCATACTGATGGTAGTGTGGCTGGGAATGTTGAATCAGATTCTGACTCCGACAGCCATGACGAGCATCAGCCTAGTCAGGATCTGCTTATGAGGAGCCTAAGATATTGGGTAACATCCTACTCAATCAGTCTGGTTGCTTTGTCTGCTCTGCTGTCCATCTTAAAGCTTTTTCACCCTATGCTCCCTAAGGATGGAAGAACTCTGCTTAGAACACAACATGATGTTGCAACCACTCAAATGCAAGGTGGCGAGTACTACCATTTTGGATTGGTGCAAGGGATACTTTCACGATTGAAATGTTTGAGTTTACCAGTGAGCCTCAGAACTCTTACTTTACAGTTCAACATAGATGGTCTCCCTCTCTTTAAGAGTTCAAGACTTCAATTCTGGCCTATACTTGCAATTCTGAAATGTGATTATACTAAGTCCCCATTTATTGTCGGTATCTTTTGTGGTTTAAGCAAGCCCAAGTGTGTTGAGTATCTGCAGCAATTTATTAGCGACCTTAAAAATGTACTGGCTAATGGCGTTGTTCATAATGGTAACCGATTGAAAGTTCTGGTTTCCTCATTTGTGTGTGATGCTCCAGCCAGAGCCTACGTTAAGAATATCAAGTCACATAATGGCTATTCAGGGTGTGACAAGTGTGATCAACATGGTGTGTGGAGGAAGAAAATGACTTATCCTGAAACAAATGTCAGGCTCAGGACAGACTCAAGTTATTGTGATATGATTGATGAAGAACATCACTTGAAACAGACACTCAGTCCTTTAACAGGGACAGTAAAGATGGTTTCTTCATTCCCAATAGATTATATGCACCTCTGTTGTCTTGGTGTGATGAGAAAACTGTTGAATATGTGGTTAAAGGGCAATCTAGCCACTAGGCTTCCTTCACAAACTGTTAACAGTATATCAAGCAAACTGCTGGGGTTACATTCCCACACCCCTTGTGAATTCAATCGCAAGCCAAGGGGTTTGAATGAGCTGGATCGTTGGAAAGCTACAGAGCTCCGATCCTTCATACTGTCCCTGTAGTTCTGAAGGATTGCCTTCCCAGTGAGATTTATGACAACTTTATGTTGTTTTCAGTGGCCATGTATTTGTTTTTGTCTCCTGGAATTTCTGGCCAAAAGGTTGAATTAGCGCATAGATTGATGATTTCCTTTGTGGAACACTTTGGACAGTTGTATGGCAGGGATCAGATTGTGTTCAGTGTACACCAGCTTATACATTTAGCCAATGAATACAAACAATTTGGACCTTTAGATAATGTTTCAGGATTCCCTTTTGAGAATTATCTTGGCCAAATAAAGCATCTTTTACGCAAGCCACACCAACCTCTACAACAGGTGGTCAAAAGGTTGTCAGAACAGCCACGTTGTGAGGTTCCATTACCAACAGATGAACCAGTCTTACAGAAAATCCACACTGATGGTCCACTCCCTCAACATTTCGGTGTTGCTGTACAGTACACAAAGGTCTCCAGTAGTCGTTTTACCTTTCTACAAAGCAGGGGGATAATTGTATTGAGGTGGGACATAGTATTGCAGTAGTGCAGAATATAGTCCAGGAAGAAGATGAGGTATATGTGATCTACAAAAGGTTCAGACACCAAGAATCATATTACACCTATCCCTGCGAGTCCTCATGCATAGGTACAGACAAGGTTAGAGAGTTGTGTGACAATATCGGGGTTGGTAAACTTGGATGTATCAAACGTAAATGTGTTCTGTATCCAGAGTCAGAAGGAAATGGCCTCATAGCTATTCCAATAGCTCATATGCAGTAGCATACCGCTCATACTGCTGGGCGAGTAAATGACATCTTATGATTTATGAGCAGGTTTTTTTTTTAATCATTTACATTATTTCCTTTATTGTATACAGAATGGAAAGGGAGGTGGTGCTTTGGGCCGTTGTACTTTTTCCAAATGGCGGAGCTGCAACAGTTCTTGCCAGCTGGTTCAGTCTAAAGGAAGGTAAATTGTTATGGCCCCCAAAAAACATGTATTTGAAGGCCCTTAAAGAACACATGACGGCCCATAAAGGATGGACCACATATGCGAATGTCCGGCTCTTGATTACTTGTGGTAAGTAGTCACTGCATTACTATTGTCTATTTTCAAGTATATAGGTATCCACACGTTTTATGGATGGCAGTTTGAATGTGTGTGGTGCCATACCACATATGACATATGTGTCACAAGTGAGACTAGTCAGTAAAATGTCATCCTATTATTTTATGCTTTTTCTTTTACAGACTCATTGGAAAAGGCCAAACGATACGAAGAAAAGTATGTGACTACTGGATGTCCAACCACTGATCTGAGCTCTGAGGACGAAGCAGGTGAACGTGGGAAAAGATGAGTAAGGTACAGTTGAATTCCTGGAGGTCAGGTTCCATGTCTGGCCTGACTTTAACCCTTATCAAACAACGTCGCATTGATAAGAACCAGTATGCGTGCATAGGCTGGAACCAAAAGAACCCAACCGCTCATAAGATGCAATGGAAAAGTGGTCACAGCACTCCCAGTGTGGAGGAAGCAGGCTTAGGATGTTTACTTTGATCGCTCCCTCTTGAAATATATAATCCTTGGTTTCTGTGTAAACAATAAGTAAAAACCCCACCTCCAGTCCTGTGATAGACTAATGTCATCTCTATGTGTACCTGTACGTCAAGCGGCCTCATTCTACAGAAATGGGCCATGGGGCAAATTAGTTCAATTAATGGGAATGTTGAATGTTTCATTTTTATTTTCCAGGCCAAATCCTGTGTACATGGAGTCAGATGGGGAGTCAGAAACCAGCTGTGTGAAGAGAACATTTGCCAAGCCACCTGATGTTCATTGTCCTACAGTGCTCCCAGAATCCAGCCAGTACCCCTCAGGACCAACCCCAAATGCAAGCAGTGGTATGTCATTACTTATTAAAATGGCAGGAACAATATGTAATTGCATGTGAGCTTTAATTTACAAGCATTTAGTTCCTCCAACAATACATTCAAACATCAGTCATGTGATATGTGTTCAAAAGTTACAGCATCCATTATTCCTGTCTTTTGTTCCCTTTTAGCCTCTGGAGGAACCACTCGGAGGATGTTCTGTCAATTCACCAGGCTGACAATGGTAAGTGAACCACTTCACACTAGGGATCGACCGATATGGCTTTTTCAAGGCCGATACCGATTATTAGTAATCAACGAGACCGATAACCGATATTTGGAACCGATATACATTTGCAGTAATATCAGAAAATCTTGGTCTCAAAATGTAGAAGAACACAAACTCCAACACAACTTCTTTGAAATGCCTTTTTATGTTTGCTGAACTTTTCAACATCTTAAAACTGGTTTCCTCTGTACCCTGAGTAAAGTCAATGAAATAGAAATAAAATGAAAACTACTAAAACTTGTTCTGAACTTCTGATATTTGAGTCTCACTCATTTAGTAGTCCCAGTTCAGCAGCACCAGATTGTGGTGCAGAGTTGCTGCGAGGCTCCACTAGCAATCCCCCCCCCTCACAGTTTATCCGCTGCGAGACGCTACCCTGTGTAACTGGGAAACTGATAGAATTGGATCGGGACATTGCTTGTGTACAGAGTGGTGACTGCAACCAGAGAAACGGCCGCATCAGATCCAAAGTTTTATCGGCAATTTGATTTAAAAAAAGGCCGATAGCGATAATCTGTAAAATGCGGAATATCGGTCTGGATAATCGGTCGACCCCTACTTCACACTACTACCTCCGGGCGGACAGTATGTAAATGTGCTTTGTCCGAGTTACAGCATTCATAGTTCATGTTTTGTGTGCTCTCATTGTAGGCTTTTGTGGAAGCTATTTGGCGGAGTTGGACCAGTCAATGGACCACTGTAAGGATGGCAAGTAAACTAATGGTGTAAAAGTCAGGCACATTGTTACGTTCCCTTCTAAATCTAGGGGGTACAAAGGGAAGTAACAACACACCAGGATGACCAAGCACGACAAAAAGGAGAGAAAACCGATCTCTGAGTAACGATCCAGCCGTTTAATGAACAAACATGAACACGGCTCACCAGCCAACTTGCAAAACAACTCTCGCTACAAAACTATATGCTGGAGACATGGACACCACGCTGCACACATCCAGCCCGGGGAGAAGGGGAGAGAGGGACAGCAACCTTCCTCCTGTTCTATATGGAGGCCCTGATTGGGGATTGGGAGCACCTGGGGAGAGGCTGCACCTGAGGACAATCAGGCTGCACCTGGGGAGTCAGAGGGAGAGAGAGAAAAACACACACACGACCACACAAACACTACGGCACGTAACACACATTCATGTGGCTGCCGATGACAATTTATTCAGGACACCGGAAATATGACCCAATGTTTCAGTCTCTCCGAAACGTTGGTCATATTTTCTGTATCCTGAATAAATGGTCATCGGCAGCCACTTGAGTGCACCCCTCGTTATTAAGTAGACTAATAGGCTATTATGTCTTTTATCTTTGGATCACAGGAATTATCAGCACCTTAGGTGGGAAACTATTCTTTAATTACTCACTCTGTAGTCAAGTGTGTTCATCCCTCAGGTCTCCTTTATCTAAAGTTGGAAAGTAACTATGGGGCTAGCTAGGTGCAATTGCTATATGGTGCTCATGGATAACAACTTTGATAGTGCTCATTTGCCTTATTTAGTTATTTCTCTCTTTTTCTAGGATTGCCAACATATAACTCCAGCCCCTCCCACGCTATGCCATTAGAGAAAGCAAGGAATGGTATGTATTTCTCAACTTAAATGTTTGTTTTTTTTGGAAAATTCCCAAATTCATGTTCAATATAAAGAATGAATAGCAGCTCAGGTTGTGAGTTTGATCGCCGACCGAGTCATACCAATGACTGTTAAAAATGGTACCCGATATCTCCCTGCTTGGCACTCAGTATCAAGGGTTGGATTGGGTTAAGTCCCTGCGACATACAGCATCATGTCCAGGGGGTGTACTTGTACATCATGCTGCGGAAACAGGATATCGGCTCCTATGGGTCTCATGGCTTACTTATAAACAATTAATAATGGTGTCTTGTCTTTTAGACGGCGGTGCCAGCTATGCACATGGCTCAAGATTAGCTGACTTCAGCGCACTGGGCTTGGCTTACCTGACCCCGCAGCACCCATCCCACCCCCCTTCAGCTCCAGAAACACCACGGGGGAGATTATATGGAGAGGAATCAAGCAGAGTGTTGAAAGGCAAGTATCATTTTCTGAGCAGGTTCTTAACCGTACTGATGCCTTCTGAATTGAGAAACCTATCCCTTGTGACTTTCCCATCTTTTCATGTTTTTTGTCATGGTGTTAAGTAGGGGTGTAACGGTATTCGTCACGGTTCGGACGTCACGGTTCGGCACACGCAGTCACACGACGAATACACCTTTTTTTTTACGAGTGGGAAAAAAGTCTTTCAGGGCAGTATCCACTACACTATATATAATCCAGGGGGCGGTATTGCGCCTAAAAGATGTTTGCCAGCCGCCCTTAAACAACAAATGAAGAACAAGAAGAAACACAACAACAAAACGAACAAAATACAAGAAGAAGAAAAGTTAGTATGGCGATTTCAGATAACACACAGGAGCTAGAACCCACCTGCTTCTTTTAAATCAGCTGTGTGGGAACATTTCGGGTTCCCTGTGGACTACAATAACGATTAAGTGTGCGAGTGGTGGATCGGACGGTGTGTCGGCGTTGTTCTACAGTGGTGCGGTATGCTCATGGAACACGCCAAACATGCTAAATCATATCAGAAGGCATCACCCAGATTTGCCAATCACAGGAGCCCGGCAAAAGACAGCCGCAGTTCAACAGCTGATCCCCGCTGTTTTTAAGAAGCCAATAGACATGAGAGCCGAGAGACCAAAATAAATAACGGAAGCTTTTGGCATATGTTTTTCAACGGCTTGAAACACTTTCTTATTATTTATGATTTTCAAGACATTCTTTTTAGTTTTACAGCTTGATGAAACCTTTTTGTTTGACATCAGCCATTACAGATAATATGGCCATCTGAGTGTGTATGGTTTGTTTTGAACTGTTTAATACAGTTAATTATTCAAAATGTCAGAGTTCCTTATTTTTAAACTGAAACTTGCTACTGTTCAAACATAAATAACAACAAACCTGGAATTATGCATTTGGGACTTTTTTTTGCTTTTTCTTGTTGTACCGAACCGTGACCTCCAAACCGAGGTACGAACCGAACCGTGACTTCTGTGAACCGTTACACCCCTAGTGTTAAGGCTTAAAATGTAAGCACTTAAACCTGCACTATGTAACCTTTTTGTGATTACAATGTTATTTTGTCCAATCTGTATGGTAGTGTTAATACAATATAACTTAAAATTGGGGTGGTTGATTTTGGTCTCCCTGCTCTTCTATTGAGACATTTAGATCCTTTATTTATATATATATATATATATATAAAAATTAGGGCCGGGACTTTAACGCGTTAATTAAGATTAATTAATTAAACAAAAATTAACGCGTTAAAAAAATTAACGCATTTTAATCGCACTTATTTTTGCACCGCGGAACGTTTCTCACTGGATGAGTTTCAGGCGTACCGATTATACTGGAGCACCAACTAACGTTCATGACTTCAGACAACAACAAACCACAGTGAACAACAGTGGTTTGTTGTTTTAAAAAACGGACGGATGGAAGCGTCGATAAGAGCACGGTTGTGTGCAAATTATGCAAAAAGGAATTCGCATATCACCGCAGCACATCAAGCCTCAAGTATCACCTCGATGCAAAACATATAGCAGCTAGCGTGGAAGCTAGCGTGGACGTTAGCCTCTTTTATCGCGTTCACACCAAAAAGAGCCGGTACTAAAATTAGTTCATGAGAACCTTTTTACCCCCACGAGAGTCCCTGCTAGAGAGCAGAGAGCTGCTAGAGAGCAGGGACTTTCGTACGGCTCTCTTGTGAGAAAAGAGCTATATTTCTGATTGGCTGGGCGGATTGCAAACCACGCCCCGTAAAACTCCCAAAAAGTTTTGTGAAGCCGCCATTTTATTATCCTCGCATTAGCATTATTAGCATTAGCCCAGCGCAGAAACGCAGAGAGACTAACTTATGGCAACACAAAATAAAACATGGGAGCGGTGGAGATGAGGAGGTGTCGGCGTTCTGGCGATTTACTCGGAAGGCTTCAGTAGAAGCTGCTGGGACTCCCAGCAGCTTCTACTGAAGCCAGTCCCCAACTCCGGGGACTTCCGGCCGGGGACTTTGGGCGGCAGTATACGCCGTGAAGTGGTTTGCGGCCTGCCAGTAAACCCAAAGCAGAAGAAGAAGAAGTGACGTCAGCGGCTTCATTTGCCTAATCCACCCCCAGGTTCAAAGAGTTCTCATGAACCTTTGTGGGAAAAGTACTGCGGTGTGAATGCGCCTAATGGTATACTAAAATCCATGTGGAAAAAAATTGCTTCTCACTGTTCTCAGGTCAAATATTTATATGCGATTAATTTCGATTAATTAATTACAAAGCCTCTAATTAATTAGATTAATTTTTTTAATCGAGTCCCGGCCCTAATAAAAATATGCCTATGAAATAAATAAATGAGGCAATAAATATGTATACATGTACATTTAAATACATATTTATTTATTTCATTGGACTTTTATTTCATAATGACACATTTATTTATTTCAAGAGACTTGTATTTCATAATGACACATTTATTTCATGTGACTTGTATTTCATGATGAGACATTTCCATTCCTTATATGCAAATGAACGGGGCGTGGTTAGCTCACAGATCCAGACCAAAGCAACAGCACCACACTGACTACTCGAGAAGAGGAAGAAAATGGAGGAGAAGGACTATAAGGCAAACGACTAAATTCTCAGAGTCAGACATCGCATGTAATCTGATACTCTAAATTTCACCCGCCAGAAATGTTCGCTTCTTCTTCTTTGGTGTAAATTGTCCGTTGGCAAACCAGTTGACTTCTTCTTCTCTCGGTTTTTTGGAGGATTGCAAACAACTTTAAGGTGCATATAGGCCATAAGGTGAACCCTGTTATCGTTTCAACCCGCTCCACAGAAGTGAAACTACACAATCTTTAGTTCATAAAAAAGAACGAGTCATGCTTATCCACCAAAAAAAATATCGTCGCTAAAATTCCTGCCAATTCTTCTAGGCACGTAATTATTGGCTGAACTAGTCCCTTCGAAGCGTAATAATATCTTGGTCCAAAGTCGTGCCACGGTTCGTCACGTGATCGTGCTACACCAATTGGGTAGCTGCATATTGTCAACAGAAGTGAAAGATGGCGGCCGCCATGGTTACGCTAAACCAGACCAAATGGATTCTAAACAGTGCTGTATGCTTGTTTTATGTCATGTTTTGTCATATGTCTTAATACATCACTAAGTCCGAGGTATTTGCGTTATATACGCGGTATTTGTGAGAGGTTTTACTATCTGGGAACAGAGTTGACCATCGAATCAACATTGACTAGCAGCGTTTATCAGCCAACTCCAGCTACAAACAATTTCCCCACGGGGATTAATAAAGTATATCAAACTCATATTTATCAAACTATCATTCCTGGACTGCCATGTTCACATCGCTAGGTTCATTGGGATTATTCCATTAGACTGAGGACTTTTTGTCTGTCTGTTGTTACCCTGTACACGTTAAATGCACTCTTAAAATAAACATGACTTGATTTCTGCGTCCAAGAAGAAGGTTAACTTGTTACGTTAAGTAATTTAGATCAATAAAATGCAGTACTTCCAGGCTGAAGACTTTTCTTTTTGTTGCTGCTTTTAATTGAACTATTCATATCTTAGACTGCACTGTAACTTTTATCCATGTATTTTTTCTTTTAATGTTTCTTTTATTAGCTTTTCTTTTGAATGACTGATTTTAAATGCCATTTTCTTAATGTCTTTAATTTTTTGTAAAACACTTTGAATTGCCTTGTGTTGAAAAGTGCTATATAAATAAACTTGCCTTGCCTTACTTATACCAATGTCCATTGATTCATTTATTTACTCATTCATCCCTCCACAAATGAAAACAACACTGATGAACCATAAAAACGAGATTTATTACAAATATAAAAGGTATGACATAGAAAACAGTAGAAGGACATGTAATGTAGTATAATTGATTGGTGTCAGGCTGGGCGGAGCGGCTGATTGGTGCTGTGATTGCCTCAGCTGGTTAAAAGAGTCCTGCTGATTATACTCTGTTCTAGTACCAAAAACAAACGTATCTATGAGTGATGTGACACTTCTACTAGTGTCAGTTGGGCAAGGCTAGTGTCTAGACTCAAAACTGTGTCCCATGATGCACAATGTCCCAGTCTGTTAAGCAGTGATACAATGCGTGATGATCCAGTTAAATGTCGAACAGTTAAACCTAAAGCCAAGGACTTGGGTGTCTGCTTGCGGCCCTTGGAAGCAAGGTACACAATGTCTTGACAAACAGACAACACTTTCAAATGTACGTCATCATCAATGTTGACATAATGATCCAGTGTTGGCTCCTCAGTGGAACCTATAATCCAGCTGAGCAGATTGTATAGTCCAATGGGGACAACAGTTTGAGATTCAGTGACATTTACATTTTCAGAAGTGGGAGGCCATGGGCATGACATGCCAGGAGTGTCACTAAGCAGTCTTTTCAAAAACAACGCTGCTGTATACAGTGTCCTTGTGTCCTCATGTGTTGTTTGGCACTTTGTTCTCCCTGTTTCATTGTCGCTGTCTGGCTCAATTCACTGGACTGTGTTGTTTCCGTACCGGATGGATCTGGTAGCATGTCCACGAGTGCATCCTTTGACAGAGTCTCAGCAAAAACCAGTTCGCAGACGTTGCGCTTGGTGGGCATGTGAAACGCTAGCTGAGGGAAATCTTGAGCCAGCCTCTTCTTCAACAGATCCTGTCTGTAACACAACAAAACAGTGACAATTACGAGTCACAGGAGTACCATCAAAAGCAGAGTGGTGGAGGTGATACAAGACATTACAGACTAGAACCTATCTGCCATACAGCACATTTAACACCAAAGAAGCCAAATAAAGGCCCACATCATCACAAACAACACTACACACTACACATCATGGGGGTTTCTCCAAACAGGCCTGTCATACACATTTTGTTTAAAGCTGGCCTTGCACATGATAAATAATAAGACTTGTATTACATTGCAGTTACCTGTAGTTTGAAGCATCAACACCTTCGTTTGCTTTCACCATGTCAATGAAGGCCTGCCTCAGCTGGCCCATTCTAAGCACCTCATTGTTGACAAGCAGCCTCTGGCGGATGATCCTCTCACAGAACAGCTTGTAACTGGCATCAAACATTGCCTCATCCCTACAACACATGAATGAGAAGTAAATAATGGATAAATGAATAAGTGTTGTGATTGTGTGCACATATAACAGAAGGAAATTGGATGTTTACTTATAATGTTAAGTATGTGTATGTGTATATATATATATAGCCATCGCCGACACACACCTGGACTTCAGTCTGGTGGTAGTGCAAATAGGTAAAGCAATCCAAGGAGAAATAACTTACTGTTCTGTCTCTGGTTTGTCAGGTCTCAGCAAAAACATGGTGTACTGACTGTAACAGCTTTTGTGGTACCGCACCTCCAGAGCCACACAGTCTTTGTCTTTTATATGTAAAAGAACACTTTGGTCATCTTTCTTCTCAGCAGCTTTCTGCAATTTGCCTAAACGGAAAAAAAAGGACAACTCAATGAGTTTGTTGACGTATCTCTCACACATAATTGTACCTTTCAGTTATTCAACCACAGAGAATGTGTGTGTGTGTGTGTGGTGTGTGTGTAGTGTGTGTGTGGTGTGTGGGTGGGGGAGGGGGGTTTGCTTACCTGCTTTTAATGTTTCAGCCTTACACAGTTGATCCCTTTGTCGCTTGCCTGCTTTGATGATCATTTTCTCCTTCATCTTGCATATAATGCACAGGGCAGGAAGGACGGGGCCAGAGCCTGCGATTGGCAGGCCTGACCTTGATCGTAGCTTCTCTGTTTGGCTTCGGTACGTGCTGCGAGACGTCGATGGGATGGGCTCGACCTCAAGGTCCTCTCTAACGTCTTGATCTCCCTCACGTGCGAGCCGTCTTTCCACCTTCGTCATGGCCTTTGTGTCGGTAAACCTTATGTAGCATGTGTGGTGGAAGCCAGCGTCCTCAGGAATATCTTCGAACTCGAAATCAAGACAGTGCTTGTGGTTTTCAGCCACCACGTTCCGAGAGTCTCCCTTCAAGCCGAGCGACCGTTGTAAGCTTGTCCTGTACGTATTCCATCTTGTATTGGTAAAACAATCAACCTTTTCGTGCTTCACAGACGTAATATGCATGTAACAATGTTTGTGTGTTGACAATTTTGACTTTTTGAGACTTTCTGGTGCGTTTTCCTCGTCTCCGCTACTCGATGAAACCATGGCGGCCGCCATCTTTCACTTCTGTTGACAATATGCAGCTACCCAATTGGTGTAGCACGATCACGTGATGAACCGTGGCACGACTTTGGACCAAGATATTATTACGCTTCGAAGGGAATAGTTCAGCCAATTATTACGTGCCTAGAAGAATTGGCAGGAATTTTAGCGACGAAATTTTTTTTGGTGGATAAGCATGAATCGTTCTTTTTTATGAACTAAAGATTGTGTAGTTTCACTTCTGTGGAGCGGGATTTCTTTTCTAAAGGACTTTTCGAGGTTCACCTTGCGGCCTAATACCGCCACCTACTGTACATGACTGTGAATCATCATATCATTCCATCTCTTAACTCATGGACGTATCTATGATCTAATCCAAAAATAAATAAATTAGGGCTGTCAAACGATTACAAATTTTAATCATGATTAAATAATCACCATTCGAACTGTCCAAAATATGTCATTTCTTTATGTATATTGTTGTGGGAATGGAAAGATAAATGAAAGAAGGCGGATATATCCATTTAACATGTTTATTGTAACATTTTTCTGTGTGTCAAAATGAAAGAGAGCACCTAGCAATCATCAAACCGTGGGGTCTTAATTCATTACGTGTTTTCTATCAACGGGGGAGTACTTCAGGAAAGTCGGGGGGGGGGGGGGGGGGCGCTAGTGGAGTACTTTGTGACCACAGAGCTTGAACGTTGTGATCAGCTGTTTTAGCGCAGTTCTCCGCCGCAGCCGGTTGGCGTAGTTTTGGCACAATTCCGTTGTACAGACCGACGTTAACAGCAGCCCTGTCTGTGCACACGGAGACCGACTCTGTCGTCCGGTGATCTAACCGCCTTCTGGAAAAGCTTCACAAGTACGTCGGTACGCAAATGCGCTTTGTGACACAAGTGACGGTACGCATTTCAGATTACGCACATAACCTGCGTACCAGTTATGTGCACCCCTGTACTACAGCAAAAGTATTCTCCGTCGGGACTTCCTGCAACAACACCACGCCGTTATCAAAGATGTTCTATTGAGAAGACGATCACTACGTGACAAAAGTTTTCAAAACCGTTTCTGGTCTTCGGTATTTCCAGACAAGTGGCTACTGAAATCAATCTGACTAACTGCTGTCTGTGCAATTTACTCGGCGCGAGTTGGCAGACTTTAGTTTGCTTACTTTAACATCATTTTTCATGGTGGGGCTAAGCCATTTCTTGGTATGGGTGTAGCCTACCCCAGCCATACCCTGTCTTTATAAATATTTGTCTGCTGGCAGACCAGCATTTATCTATCACCAGCTTATGTTAGTATTAAATATAAAATGTATTCTGGTAACTATCAAAATAAAGACATTGTATAGTGTTCACAACAGTATTTTTATTTAATAAATTATACTTAATACAATAATATTACAAGAAAAACCTACATCTAAATAAATATATCATCTAAAATAGATGCATTTGATTTAAAAATAACAAATATAAACGTCTTTCTCGTGCAGCCACTGCTTGAAGCAAACTGAAAATAAGAAACAACAATGTTTTAACAAATCATATTCAATTATGTGATGATAGAACTGTAAACAGAATAGCTGAAACTTTAACAAAATAAATAACTCAGTTTCCTCTAATCATTAACCCATGTTTGTATCAGAGTTAACTTCGTGTGTTGTAGCATACAGAACACCTGACGTGGAAACGTTACTCGTGGATGGAGCTACAGAGCTGCTAGAAAGACAGTGGAACCCGGTGCATTCCTCCGTCTGAATGTGGAGCACTTTTGCTAAATGTTTAGACAAATAGCTCGTGTTACCGCCCTCACATGCTAAACTCTTATTGCACTTTTGGCAACAAGCATTTTCCACCTCAAGACCAAGCCCCCAGGAAGTGCGCCGGACTCTGAGGAAAATATTCGTTGTGTCCAAACGGCGGTACTACAATTTCCTTATCAGTCTGTGACGTCGACCGGCCCAGAAATACTTTTTCCCATTGACTAACATTGGGAAAGAGACGTCTGTAACTCGGTGGATCATTTTTTAAAAACTAAATAAACTACCCAGTATGAACTATTGTATAGCCCTAGAATCATTAAGTCCTTAAAGTTGTAAAATGCACTAAAAGCCGAATCTAGATTTATTCTCTCTCCATTCTTTCTAGTGAGCCGAGTGTGTGCTCGGGGGGCGGGGCTTAAGGGGCGCATGCTCTGTGAGCGCACAAACGGGTTCTTCTGCTCTGACAGCCAGGCATGACGGGTAATCTGTGACGTTTCGCTCTCTCAAAAGTTGGGCCATTTTGACTTCATGCGCCAATGAGCAGCTCTCATAGGAAAGAACGAGGCCCCTCCTCCGACGCTGTATCCAGTTCTTATTATACATCCATGCTCAAGACGGGTAACATAACTACCTTCGGGGCACTTAGTTCTCTCCGCCATGTGTTTGTGTGCGCACGCGCGTGTGTGTTGCATGCATTTAGCAGGTTCTGTGTGTAAACTGCCCCACCCCCTCGCACACCGACAGAGGAGAGAGATCTCTCGTCTGGATTGGAAAGATCGGAAATAAATCGCACTTTGTAGTCTTATTGCATATTAGAAACGGAGTTGCAGTAAGACTGCGATATAATGTTTATGTAGATATAATACATATGACATCTATTTTTTAAATGTCTCCAGTACCGATAAAAAGATCGATAACATTGGACGTTAACGGTACCACGGTCTTTAATAATTCAGCCCCAGGGCCACGTTAATACTGGGGCTCGGTACCCATCCCTAGTTTTAATTATTACATCATCAATATTACATTTCAAATAACCAACTACTTGGTGTCTCACAAAGAGCAAGTGGCTAGTGCTGCTAAGAACATACCCGGTGATGGTGATGATGGTGGCTCTTCGCTGCAGGATCTGGTCGATGTCCTCCTAGCAGAAGCGGTTGCCTTCGTCGTTCTCGTCCATGATGGCGGCGTAGGCGCCTTTCCTCAGCAGGTCCTCGATCTCCTTCTTGGAGAACTGCTGGACCGGCTAAAGGCGACGCAGAGAGACATTTACACAAGTGGATTTAGAAAACTCTTTTTGAAAATAAACTAAGCGTACTGCAACAGCGACTGACCCAAACATGACTTGGCATCGAGAAATATGACAGATTTTCTTTTTCTCACCCCGTTGTTGTTGCCTTCTTTGTTCCCACTCATGCTCTGCAGGACGGCACGGTCCAGCCCGAGCTTCAGACTAGCTTTATCCAGCATTTCCCTCTCATAGTTTCTAGTGATCAGACGGTACACCTCCACCGCCTTAGACTGGCCAAAACGATGACACCGAGCTTGAGCCTGAAATAAAAAATGAAACGAGGGGTCAAAAGAGCATCATGTGCAGCTGCTGTTCAACGTTTTTAAGCATTAAATGGGAAAATAATATACACTTAAAGAACCGAGGGAATAAACGGAAAGACTGTTGTTGTTGTAGCCCTATTGAACTATCTTTAGGACAGACAGAGCAGAGATATATATATATCGTACCTGCAGGTCATTTTGAGGGTTCCAGTCAGAGTGGAATATCACACAGGTGTCTGCAGCAGTGAGGTTCACAAGCTCTTGATCAGGTGTTTGATGTGGGCTGGCATGATCCTTTCTGCAGCGATGAATAAAGAAAACAAAGAAGACATTATTAATAATAGGGTAACACTTTATTTTGATAGTCCATAGTTAACACTATAAGTCATCAGTTGACATTTAGTAGCATGTCAACAGTTTATCAGTTGACATGTGTCAGTTGACATTCAACAGCACCGTTCAAACCGACAAGTAACTAAGCATTAGTTGATGATCAACAGATAAGCAACTAAAGTTCAGTTGACTATTACATTAAGCATTAGTTGATGATCAACATATAAGCAACTTTAGAGTTTAGTTGACTATCTGTTGATCGTCAACTAATCTAGAGTTGACTATTAGTATACTTTTAGTAGGTTCAAGCGTTTGTAGGCATGTGTTAGGACTATCCAATTAAAGTGAAAAACAGTTGAGAACAGTAGAAAGTCTATAACCTATCAACAGAACACATACATTCATCCACTAATTATATGCAACAGACATGGGAAATAAAGCGAAATGTTTTGCACAACTGATCACGAACACTGGATAACTGAAGTCAATACCAGGTTATAAAGCACAGTAGAACAAACACTATACACAGCATATCAGAGAAAGAAAGCTTTTTTATTTGAATAACATACTACAAGTAAAAGCACTGAACAGTTGTGAACCACATTCAATCCTACTAAAGGACATCTAAACATAATCATTAACAGGTCGCCAAAACACTTCCCCAAAGTAGCTTCCCAAAATGAAAAAACGTCCCCCCTGTCACTACCCGATCTGCAGCTCTGCCCGATCTGCAGTGCGAGATGGTTCGCCATATTGAACAACTCCGGACGGCAACCCAAGATGGACACTTGACACAGTGGCTTTTTGCAAAGCTCAAAAATAAAATGAGAGAGAGATGAGTTATTGTTATTACAACGTGACTTCACTATTATTTAACAACTCTTTTTATTGGGTTATTTTATTTGGGGTTAAGCACATTGTCAGAATAAGTGAGAAGTTAATTTAACTTCTGTTAGACAGCTATATGCCAAACATGTTTGCATACATTCACAGTAAATATGTATTCAGTATGATAGCTGTCTAACAGAAGTTAAATTAATTCCTCACTTATTCTGACAATGTACTGTTGTGAGTTTTCATAGTATGTTTAATACTTAAAAACGAAAGTTAGTTATAATCAAATATAATCAATTATATTCTTGTATAACCCACAATGAAAATGATTCATATTTTAGGTTTTTCTATAGTTACAGTATAAACAAAACAAAGTGGTTTGTTTAGGTTGAGTTTTCTTCCTCTCCTGTGACAGCAGTACACAGGGAGGGGGGCTCCAGGCTTAAGGAGAAACACAGAGGTCAAAAATTGTTCATGTCCTTTTCACACTAACATGAGAAGGTGGGTCTTATGTCATAAAGCTCTGGAACATGTCGAGGCATGTTCAGCCTTGTACATTACA